GAAAAATTATTTGATTTACTGAAGGTTACACAGCAGAATTATAGCTGCCACTCAGCCATTCCATTAAGCCTGAAGTACTGACTAGGTAAGATGCTTCTGTGCACAGAAGCTGGAGAATCTTTGGTAAGCAACATAGAACTCTAGGATTTAAGTTCTTGTCTGTGATCAACAATATGATGTTGAGTGCTTAGAATCTTGAAGTCTCAGGCCTATTTAAACTAATTATTTAATTGTAATGGCCTGCTTGTACCTTCTTTCTTCAGTTTTATTTGGTAACATTTGTTCCTATTCCCTCATGAGGTATCCTTGAATCCCATGTGGAATATATACATGACTGTTCATTATTTCTTTTTAATAACAGTTTAACTTCTGGTAATTACTATGAATGAGTTTTACCCTCTTAACCACAGGATTTAGACAAAATATACAAAATTTATAATATTAACCTTTTGTTGTAACAATTTATACTCTGTAAATTTCTAAAATTAAGCAAATTGTATTTCTTCTAGTTGTTAAGTGTTACACCTTTTAATGAAAATATTTGAATAGAGGTTAGTTTTTGTCCTCAATATTAGAACAAATATAATCTAGATAATTGACATTAATATATCGAAAACTAATCTAATAAGATTACCTAGAAAGTAATGAACACTATCACCTTATCATGTGATGAACTGCATGTATTAATGTTAATAATAATCATACATTTTCACTCTTAATTTGACAAAAGCAACACAATGTCTTTTCTCTCAATATAGGAAAAAATTATTCCATATTTATTACGACTGAGACAAATTAAGGATGAAACTCTTCAGGCTGCAGTTAGAGAAATTTTGGCCTTAATTGGCTACGTGGATCCAGTGAAAGGGAGAGGAATCCGAATTCTCACAATTGATGGTGGAGGAACAAGGTAAGGCTAGGAACATGATTCTTTTTTTTTTTTTTTTTTTTTCCCTGAGATGGAGTTTCCCTCTGTTGCCCAGGCTGGAATGCAGTGGAGTGATGTTGACTCACTGCAACCTCTGCCTCCCAGGATCAAGTGATTCTCCTGCTTCAGCCTCCTGAGTAGCTAGCATTACAGGTGCCCGTCACCACACCCTGCTAATTTTTGTAGTTTTTAGTAGAGACGGGGTTTCACCATGTTGGCCAGGCTAGTCTCAAACTCCTGACCTCAGGTGATCTGCCCGCCTCAGCTTCCCAAACTGCTGGCATTACAAAGGTGATGATTTTTTAAAAGCTACACATTCAATTTAGCATTAGGGATTAAACAAACAAACAAATAAAAAAAACTGATTTGATAGAATTATGTCATTATAAAATCAAATTTTTTAAATAAAACATAAAATCATTTTAATACTTTATCAATCTGAGTGCTACTCTAACATATACTTCAAATACTCGTATTTTGATTTGATTTATTATTTATGTCTTCAGATTTGATTTGATTTGATTTTAGTATTTATATTTTTATATTTGGCCTTTTTAGACCTTTTTGGTGGCTTAGAAGCTTATCAACCATTATTCTCATAAAATCTTGATAGTGTTTTATAATTTTAGCTTTCTTTTATTATTTTATTTTATTTTATTTTTTTGGAGACAGAGTCTTGCTCTGTCACCCAGGCTGGAATGCAGTGGCATGATCTCAGATCACTGCAACCTCCACTTCCCGGGATTAAGAGATTCTCCTGCCTCAGCCTCTCGAGTAGCTGGGATTACAGGCATCTGCCATCACGCCTGGCTAATTTTTTAAAATTTTTAGTAGTGACGGGATTTCATCATGTTGTCCAGGCTGATCATAAACTCCTGACCCCGGATAAACCACCTGCCTCAGCCTCCCAAAGTGCTGAGATTACAGGCATGAGCCACCGTGCTCAGCCGGTTTTCTTTTATTACACTTATTCTTACCCATATTTATCTACTAGTCACCTGATAAAGCGATGGTTACGAAATGATGCTATATTAACTTCCTGACTCCTGATGTCTCTACATGCAGATGCCAGTTCTGGTCCTATATAAGAAATAAATTTATTCTTTGTTCAAAAGGAGATAATTTCACTATTTTAAAAAAAAGCTCCATTTTTACTATTGGCAATCCATCCATGCTTCTTAGTCTTTGTTTATCCAGTTCATTGCAACTTGTTGGTTAGATTTTTTTGGCTTGGGATTTCAAACCTTTTCCCCAAAATCTTCTAGCTGGTACTCTAGATCTCTGCCATCTCCACGGTTACCTTATAATTCATGGTACATGCCCTGCCTATTGTTCTTAGCTTTAACTTACCTCTCTGATTTTGCTTTTTGGCATACCCAGCTTGCTGATCACTCTTCTGTATGTTCAAGTATTACCCTGTATCTTTTTATTAAATTCCTTCATCCTGTATTCACCCTAGTCCTTTATACTTTGACATCAATATGAAGGAAGGAGTAAGTAATAAGACTAGGAAGCTAACCTCAGATGGTGGCAGTGGAAAGTGAGAGGAAGGATAAACATACCAGTAACTTTTTTTTTTTTTTTTGAGGTGAAATTTTGCTCTTGTTGCCCAGGCTGGAGTGCAATGGCGTGATCTCAGCTCACTGCAACCTCTGCCTCCCAGGTTCAAGCGATTCTCCTGCCGCAGCCTGCTGAGTAGCTGGGATTAAGACATGTACTGCCATGCCTGGCTAATTTTGTATTTTTAGTAGAGATTGGGTTTCACCGTGGTGGCCAGGCTGGTCTCAAGCTCCTGACCTCAGGTGATCTTACCTGCCTCGGCCTCCCAAAGTGCTGGGATTACAGATGTGAGCCACCACTCCCAGCCAATACCAGTAACTTTTAAGGAACACGGATAATAGGATATGGTAGACATAGGTCAGGATTACCCTAAGTGTAAACCTCTGTATGTCTGGGAAAAAATTACAGGGAATCTCAACAGACTGAGGTTGAGGAAAGACAGTTCTTTCTTGAACATGTTTAATGTAAGTTCATATACATCCATATAGAAGTGCTCAGTTGGCAAAGAAAAGCCCACTGAAGAGAGAAAAATAAAAGATCTTGGTAGATGTTTCTTAGGAAAGTGTAATAATCTTAAGAAGGTGTATGTCATTCATGTGATATAGATAAAGCAATAACTGGAGAGATTATTCTGGTTCACAGAATTGGTTCCAAATGGTGAGAAATAGGGGAAATTGGCAGTTAAATGAGTAGGGGCGTTTCACTAAGGAGCAGAAGGAATCCTCTCTGCCATTAAGTTCAGGGGAGTTGGGACAGTGTCATTCATTGAGTCATCTAATAAATATTGGGTGCCTACTCTGTTGTTAGCATTGATTTAGATCCTGGGGACAATGAGCAAACAAAACAGCCCAAGTCTTTTTGGTGTTTGCATTGTAGAGAAGGAAAAAGACAACAAATAGAAAAACAAAAATATGTTATTCTGCGTGCTATGAAGAAATATAAAGCAAAGCAAACTAAAGGGATAGAGAGGAATAGTACTACTTTAAAGAATGCTTATGACATGACTTCTTTTTAAAGAAGTTATATTTATTTAGAGATAGGAAAGAAGTAGGAAAATTAAAGAATATTCAGATGTCTGTTTAAGGTCAGACAAGCATGATGAAAAAGAAGTTTGTATCTAATAAATAGTTTATTTTGTAAAATAAGAGTTATATTAGTCATACAGGGAGGAAATCAATGTGAGGTAGTTTGGGAAAATCTAGGAGCGGGTTAGGATGAAGTTAGGTTTAGATTAGTAATTCTCCACTGGAGGTGATTTTGCCCCATAAAGGACATTTGGCAGTGCCTGGAGACATTTTTGGTATCACTTTGATCCAGTTTGAAGAGGACATTTGTGACTAAACATTATACAGTGCACAGAACAGCCCTGCAAAACAGAGATTATCCAACCCACAATGTCAGTAATGCTGCTGGTGAGAAAACTTGGTTTAGGGAAATGTGAGAAAGCAGCCGGAATGGGAGGTTTGTGTGGAAAGCAGTAATGTATGAGGGACTGAGAGAAGAAAAAAAACGCTGTCTTTTATTTCCTTGGTATGAGGGAACCTGATAGTACAGTGGTAGGCATAGACAGCTGGGCAACCTTGCAAATATTTATGTATTTAAATTTATTCTGAATTTATGAATACAACATTTTAAATAGTTATTTTTTCCCTTGATACAAGTAGTTAGAAAAACCTGCGAGAGGAAAAAAAAAAAACCGAAAACCATAGCTCACAACTCTAAGATTATTTTAGTATTTTGATTTATTTTCTTCAAATCTTTTTCAGTGGGAATATATATGTGCCTGTTTTTTCCTTTTTGTACATAATAGAGGTCACATTTTTAAAAATATTTTATCTAGCATTATATTTAATTCTTCATGTCTTGCCTTGAATTAATTATGTTTCTCTTTCATAAGACATCTTCTTAACTCTCCTGAAATCCACATTATTTGTTGTATTTAAAAAATCAGCATCTTTGGTTTTCTACTTTAATCTTACAGAATTTTCTAGTTACTTTCTGTTAACCGTATCAAGGAACAATTGACACTCTAAATTTTTTGGTGCCCAACTACCTTTGTGTTCGAGGACTTACCTACTCCCTAATTTGTGTTGGGAATAGAGCTTTTCACCATGTTTTTGTATTCTCCCAGTGTTAAAAATTATCATGATACACACATGACAGTTTACATGATACATGTACCCTTAGTTGGTCTATATCTCCTAAGCTTTTTCATCTTTTCACATTCCTATTAACCGCTGTTGGCAAGGATTCAGAAATGAGCAAAGGCAGTAACATTAATTAATACAGCATTAATGTAGAGTATTATCCTAAGGTTATTGAAAGTTTTAAAAAATGAATAAAGAAAAGAAAGCTTAAAACTCTGATTGGTAAAATATATAAGACACAAATGTATAGAGGCATAGGTAACCAACTATATAGGTAAGATGAGAAACTAAGGTATGGCATCCCAAAACCAGTGAGTGAGTTTTAAGTGTTTTCTAGAGTTGTTTTTTTTATTTTATGTTTCAGTCTTATATTGGCATCTCTTTGTATTCTTATGTAGTTGCTTTTGGCATTCTTTTTTTTTTTTTTCCATTTATTTATTTTATTGCATTTTAGGTTTTGGGGCACATGTGAAGAACATGCAAGATTGTTGCATAGGTATACAAGTGGCAGTGTGATTTGCTGCCTTCCTCCCCATCACCTACATCTGGCATCTCTCCCCTTGCTATCTCTCCCCAACTCCCGACCCTCTACCATCCCTCCCCTATTTTCCCCCAACTGACCCCAGTGTGTAGTGCTCCCCTCCCTGTGTTCATGTGTTCTCATCGTTCAACACCCACCTATGAGTAAGAACATGCGTTGTTTGATCTTCTGCTCTTCTGTCAGTTTGCTGAGAATGATGGTTTCCAGGTTCATCCATGTCCCTACAAAGGACACAAACTCATTGTTTTTGATGGCTGCATAATATTCCATGGTGTATATGTGCCACATTTTCCCTGTCCAGTCTATCATCGATGGGCATTTGGGTTGGTTCTAGGTCTTTGCTATTGTAAACAATGCTGCAATGAACATTCGTGTGCACGTGTCCTTATAGTAGAACAATTCATAATCCTTTGGATATATACACAGTAATGGGATTGCTGGGTCAAATGGAATTTCTATTTCTAGGTCCTTGAGGAATCGCCACACTGTCTTCCACAATGGTTGAACTAATTTACACTCCCACCAACAGTGTAAAAGTGTTCCTATTTCTCCACATCCTCTCCAGCATCTGTTGTCTCTAGATTTTTTAATGATCGCCATTCTAACTGGCGTGAGATGGTATCTCAGTGTAGTTTTGATTTGCATTTCTCTGATGACCAGTGATGATAAGCATTTTTTCGTATGTTTGTTGGCCTCATGTATGTCTTCTTTTCTAAAGTATCTGTTCATCTCCTTTGCCCACTTTTGAATGGGCTTGTTTTTTTCTTGTAAATCTGTTTTAGTTCTTTGTAAATTCTGGATATCAGCCCTCTGTCAGATGGGTAAACTGCAAAAATTTTTTCCCATTCTGTTGGTTGCTGATTCACTCTAATGACTGTTTCTTTTGTTGTGCAGAAGCTGTGGAGTTTGATTAGGTCCCATTTGTCTATTTTGGCTTTTGTTGTCAATGCTTTTGGTGTTTTGGTCATGAAGTCCTTGCCTACGCCTATGTCCTGAATGGTTTTGCCTAGATTTTCTTCTAGGGTTTTTATGGTGTTAGGTCTTATGTTTAAGTCTTTAATCCATCTGGAGTTAATTTTAGTGTAAGGTGTCAGGAAGGGGTCCAGTTTCTGCTTTCTGCACATGGCTAGCCAGTTTTCCCAACACCATTTATTAAACAGGGAATCCTTCCCCCATTGCTTGTTTTTGTCAGGTTTGTCAAAGATCAGATGGTTGTAGATATGTTGTGTTGCATCTGAGACCTCTGTTCTGTTCCATTGGTCTATATCTCTGTTTTGGTACCAGTACCATGCTGTTTTGATTACTGTAGCCTCGTAGTATAGTTTGAAGTCCGGTAGTGTGATGCCTCCCGCTTTGTTCTTTTTGCTTAGAATTGACTTGGCTATGCGGGCTCTCTTTTGGTTCCATATGAAGTTTAAGGTGTTTTTTTCCAGTTCTGTGAAGAAGGTCATTGGTAGCTTGATGGGGATAGCGTTGAATCTGTAAATTACTTTGGGCAGTATGGCCATTTTCACGATATTGATTCTCCCTAACCATGAACACGGAATGTTTCTCCATCTGTTTCTGTCTTCTCTTATTTCATTGAGCAGTGGCTTGTAGTTCTCCTTGAAGAGGTCCTTTATGTTCCTTGTTAGTTGTATTCCTAGGTATTTTATTCCCTTTGTGGCAATTGTGAATGGCAGTTCGTTCTTGATTTGGCTCTCTTTAAGTCTCTTATTGGTGTATAGGAATGCATGTGATTTTTGCACATTGATTTTGTATCCTGAGACTGCTGAAGTTGCTTATCAGTTTCAGGAGATTTTGGGCTGAGATGATGGGGCCTTCTAGATATACAATCATGTCGTCTGCAAATAGAGACAATTTAACTTCCTCCTTTCCTATTTGAATACTCTTTATTTCTTTTTCTTGCCTGATTGCTCTGGCTAGAACTTCCAGTACTATATTGAATAGGAGTGGTGAGAGAGGGCATCCTTGTCTAGTGCCAGATTTCAAGGGGAATGCTTCCAGTTTTTGCCCATTCAGTATGATATTGGGTGTTGGTTTGTTGTAAATAGCTTTTATTATTTTGAGATACGTTCCGTCAATACCTAGCTTATTGAGGGTTTTTAGCATAAAGGGCTGTTGAATTTTGTCAAAGGCCTTCTCTGCATCAATTGAGATAATCATGTGGTTTTTGTCTTTGGTTCTGTTTATGTGGTGAATTACGTTTATAGACTTGCGTATGTTGAACCAGCCTTGCATCCCCAGGATGAAGCCTACTTGATTATGGTGGATAAGCTTTTTGATGTGCTGTTGCAATCGGCTTGCCAGTATTTTATTGAAGATTTTTGCATCTATGTTCATCATGGATATTGGCCTGAAGTTTTCTTTTCTTGTTGAGTCTCTGCCGGGTTTTGGAATCAGGATGATGTTGGTCTCATAAAGTGATTTGGGAAGAATTCTCTCTTTTTGTATTGTTTGGAATAGTTTCAGAAGGAATGGTACCAGCTCCTCTTTGTATGTCTGGTAGAATTCGGCTGTGAACCCGTCTGGACCTGGGCTTTTTTTGGGTGACAAGCTCTTAATTGCTGCCTCAACTTCAGACCTTGTTATGGGTCTGTTCAGGGTTTCGGCTTCTTCCTGGTTTAGGCTTGGGAGGAGGCAAGTGTCCAGGAATTTATCCATTTCTCCCAGGTTTACTAGTTTATGTGCATAAAGTTGTTTGTAATAATCTCTGATTATGGTTTGAATTTCTGTCGAATCAGTGGTGATATCCCTTTATCATTTTTTATTGCATCAATTTGATTATTCTCTCTTTTCTTTTTTATTAATCTGGCTAGTGGTCTGTCTATGTTGTTGATCTTTTCAAAAAGCCAGCTCCTGGCTTTATAGATTTTTTGAAGGGTTTTTTGTGTCTCTGTCTCCTTCAGTTCTGCTCTGATCTTAGCTTTTTCTTGTCTTCTGCTAGGTTTTGAGTTTTTTGATCTTGCTTCTCTATCTCTTTCAATTTTGACAATAGGGTGTCAATTTTTGATCTCTCCTTGCTTCTCATGTGGGCACTTATTGCTATATATTTTCCTGTAGAGACTGCTTTAAATGTGTCCCAGAGATTTCTGGTATGTTGTGTCTTCATTCTCGTTGGTTTCAAAGAACATCTTTATTTCTGCCTTCATTTCGTTGTTTATCCAGTCAACATTCAAGAGCAAGTTATTCAGTTTCCATGAAGCTGTGCGGTTCTGGGTTAGTTTTTGAATTCTGAGTTCTAACTTGATTGCACTGTGGTCTGAGAGACTGTTTGTTACGATTTCCGTTCTTTTGCATTTGCTGAGGAGTGATTTACTCCCAATTGTGTGGTCAATTTTAGAGTAGGTGTGATGTGGTCCTGAGAAGAATGTATATTCTGTGGATTTGGGGTGGAGAGTTCTGTAAATGTCTATTAGGTTTGCTTGGTCCAGGTCTGAGTTCAAGTCCTGGATATCCTTGTTAATTTTCTGTCTGGTTGATCTGTCTAATATTGACAATGGGGTGTTAAAGTCTCCCACTATAATTGTGTGGGAGTCTAAGTCTCTTTGTAAGTCATTAAGAACTTGCCTTATGTATCTGGGTGCTCCTGTATTGGGTGCGTATATATTTAGGATGTTAGCTCTTCTTGTTGCATTGATCCTTTTACCATTATGTAATGTCCCTCTTTGTCTTTTATGATCTTAGTTGCTTTAAAGTCTAATTTATCAGAGATGAGAATTGCAACTCCTGCTTTTTTTTTGCTATTTGCTTGGTAAATCTTCCTCCATCCCTTTATTTTGAGCCCTTGTGTATCCTTGCATATGTGATGGGTTTCCTGGATACAGCACACCGATGGGTTTTGGCTTTTTATCCAATTTGCCAGTCTGTGTCTTTTGATTGGGGCATTTAGTCCATTTACATTTAGGGTTAATATTGTTATGTGTGATTTGATACTGCCATTTTGGTGCTAGCTGGCTGTTTTGCCCATTAGTTGATGCAGATTCTTCATTGTATTGATTCTCTTTACCATTTGGCATGTTTTTGGAGTGGCTGGTACTGGTTGTTCCTTTATATGTGTAGAGCCTCTTTCGGGAGCTCTTGTAAAGCAGGCCTGGTGGTGATGAAATCTCTGAGTACTTGCATGTTCACAAAGGATTTTATTTTTCCTTCACTTATGAAGGTTAGTTTGGCTGGATAGGAGATTCTGGGTTGAAAGTTCTTTTCTTTAAGGATGTTGAATATTGGCCCCCACTCTCTTCTGGCTTGTAGGGTTTCTGCTGAGAGATCTGCTGTGAGTCTGATGGGCTTCCCTTTGTGGGTAACCCGACCTTTCTCCCTGGCTGCCCTTAGTATTTTCTCCTTCTTTTCAACCCTGGTGAATCTGATGATTATGTGCCTTGGGGTTGCTCTTCTTGACGAATATCTTCGTGGTGTTCTTTGTATTTCCTGGGCTTGAATATTGGCCTGCCTTGCTAGGTTGGGGAAGTTTTCCTGGATAATATCCTGAAGAGTATTTTCCAGCTTGGATTCATTCTCTTCGCCGCATTCAGGTACGTCTATCAAACGTAGATTAAGTCTTTTCACATAGTCCTACATTTCTTGGAGTCTTTGTTCATTCCTTTTTACCCTTTTTTCTCTATTGTTGCCTTCCCATTTTGTTTCATTGAGTTGATCTTCAACCTCTGATATCCTTCTGCTTGGTCAGTTCGGCTGTTGAAACTTGTGCATGCTTCGCGAAGTTCTTGTGTTTTTCAGCTCCATCAATTCACTTATATTCCTTTCTATTTTGTCCTTTCTCGTTAGCATTTCGTCAAATCTTTTTTCAAGGTTCTTAGTTTCTTTGCCTTGGGTTAGAACATGTTCTTTTAGTTCACAGAAGTTTCTTACTACCCACCTTCTGAAGTCTGATTCTGTCATTTCATCGCACTTGTTCTCCATCCAACGTTGTTCCCTTGCTGGTGAGGAGTTGCGATCCCTTGTAGGAGGAGAGGTGTTCTGGTTTCGGGTGTTTTCATCCTTTTTGTGCTGGTTTCTTTCTGTCTTTATGGATTTATCCACCTGTCGTCTTTGTAGTAGCTGGCTTTCAGATTGGGTCTCTGAGTGGACATTCTGTTTGTTGATGATGAGGTTATTTCTGTTTCTTAGTTTTCCTTCTAACAGTCTGGCCCCTCTGCTGTAGGTCTGCTAAGGTCCACTCCAGGCCCTGCTTGCCTGGGGATCACCTGCAGCAGCTGCAGTACAGTAAGGGTTGTTACCAGTTTTCTTCTTCTGCTATCTTTGTGCCAGAAGGATACCTGCCAAGTGTCAGTCTGATCTCTCCTTTATGAGGTGGCTCTTTGGATATACAGGGGTCAGGGAGCTGCTTGAGGAGACAGTCTGTTCTTTATAGGAGCTCAAATGCTGAGCTGTGAGCTCCGTTGTTCATTCAGAGCTGCTGGGCAGGTACATTTAGGTCTGCTGCAGCAGAACTCATAAACCACTTTTTGTTCCCAGGTGCTCTGTCCCAGGGATTTAGGGTTTTATTTATGAGATTCTGTTGTGCTGCTGCCTTCTTTTTTTTTTCCTTCAGAGCTGCCCTGCCCAGCAAGGAGGCAGCCTAGTCACTGTCTGCCTGTAGAGGCTTTGCTGAGCTGCTGTGGGCTCCACCCAGCTGCCAAGTGAGCTTCCCTGCAGTCCTGTTTATAAGGGTATAGTTAGAATTGCCTCGGCAACGGTGGCCCGCTTCTGTATTGGCGGACTCTGTCTGTAATGGCGGGTTGCCTCAGCAACGGGGGGGCTGCCTCAGCTATAGCGGGTTGCCTTGGCAACGGCGGGCTGCCTCAGCATTGGCTGACTACCTCCTTATTGGTGAAGTGTCTCGGTAATGGCAGACGCCCCTCCCCCACAGAGCTGCACCGTCCTGGATTCAGCTGTGCTTGCTGTGAAACTCTCAATCCAGAGAGTTTCTGATTGCTATTCTTTTGTGGGGGTGGGACCAGCCAAGCCTGATCGCCTGGCTCCCTGCCTCAGAGCCTTTTTTTTTTTTTTTTTTTGGGTTGGTGTTCCAGTTGGCTGTTGAAGAGGCGCCGGGATCTGTGTGTTTTCCCGTGGGGCGACTCACTGCGCTGGCTTAAACAGCGGCACTGAGATTCGTGGCACTTTTTTTTGCCCTGGAATCTACTGTCCTGGTTCCCTGTTCAGTCCCCTTTTTAAACAGATGAATGGGCGACTTCCCGTGGCTCCAATTGCCAGCCAAAAGGGTACTTGGACCGGTGTATTTTGTATGGCGAACTGCTGCGCCGGGGCGCTGACAGAGCAGCCACATGGGGCAAAGCAGCCGTGCTGGCTGTCACAGCCGCGCTGGCGACCTGTGGGGCTTCTCCGCCTGGGAATCTCCTAATCTGTGGGCAATAAAAATGTGGCGTCCACTCACCCTCTGTGCTTTCACTGGGAGCTGCAATCCTGAGCTGTTCCTAAACAGCCATCTTGGATCGATCCCCCTGACATTCTTAAGAAGTGTATTCAGGCAGATTTCTTCTTCTTTTTATTTATTTATTTTTCTGTAGAAATGCGGTCTTGCTATGTTGCTCAGGTGGTCTTGAACTGTTGGCCTCAAGTGATCCTCCTACCTCAGCTTCCCAAAGCGCAGGGATTACAGGCATGAGCCACTGTGCCTGGCCAGATTTATTCTTATTCAAAGAGATACTGTTCTGCAGAAGGATGGGTTCAATGAAAAAACAAAAGAAAGATACTAATGTAAATTTTATAATATACTGCTATAGTGTAGGTTTTATATCATTTAGATAATGGATTTTCAAAAGTAATACTAAAAATTCGGTCAGGCAATTTTTACTGATTCTGATTTGTTAATTTTCATGTTAGTATATAAACTACAGAAGCAGTTCTTAGATTGTTTTGTTCAACAGGTTAAATTAATTTTTCCTGAAAGAGGAATTCTCATTTTGCCTTTAATCTTTTCTACAGGGGCGTGGTTGCTCTTCAGACCCTACGAAAATTAGTTGAACTTACTCAGAAGCCAGTTCATCAGCTCTTTGATTACATTTGTGGTGTGAGTACAGGTAATTATTACTGTATGGAAGTGGTGCATTCTGGCAATGCATTGAGGAAAGAAGAGTAAGCACGTATGTTTAAGACCATAGTCCTTTGCCTCCTCCAGCCTTCTCTCCGTGCTCCAGAACTTTCTCAAAACCCCCTTTTCTCTTTTGTTCATGGTTAGGCCAGTTAGGCACACTAGGTGGCGGTGTGTTCTACCAATTACAGCTAGATTCAAAATCTGCTATTTAAAAGGACATCCAAGAGTACCTAGTATCTTTAATTGCATTTGTTCCCATGATTAACCTGAAGGAGAATTGTTTAATGACTTGGTCAGTTGTCAAATATACCATATTCTATGACTAAAACTAAGTAATTTATTGATATTAGAAAAAACATGAATTATCTACAATAGTGTCTTATATATAATTTAATATGAAACAACACATTTATATGTTTTTTTAAATTATTATCATTATCATTATTGGGGTAATGTTTATTTAATCCTTTTTGAAACCTGGTAAATCCCTTTACATTTGTTAACCCAGTACAAAAGACATGAATTTCGGTTGTTCTTACTCCCATTTTATAGCTAAAAAATAGGTCTCTGAGAAGGAAAGTCATTTGTCTTTGTCCCAGGTGATGTAGCTAGAAAGTATCAAAGCTGAAATTTAAGCCAAAACTATGAGGAGATATCATCATAAAGGCTATAACATTAACGCTGATTAAAAACTAAGGATTCTTTTTTCAGGTGCCATATTAGCTTTCATGTTGGGGTTGTTTCATATGCCCTTGGATGAATGTGAGGAACTTTATCGAAAATTAGGATCAGATGTATTTTCACAAAATGTCATTGTTGGAACAGTCAAAATGAGTTGGAGCCATGCATTTTATGACAGTCAAACATGGGAAAACATTCTTAAGTAAGTCAAAATTACTCTTCTTAAATGTTCTGATTATATAGGTAATATGTACATATTATAATTCGAAAAATACCAAGATATTAACTTTTTAGCTAATTAGAGATAACAACTGTTAGTATTTTGGTGAATCATAGTTTAGTAATTGTTTTGGGGGTTCATGTATGTGAGATTTGCATGTACAAGTTACAATCGCCTTTTAAAAATATCAGATATTTGCATCCTATTGTTTTTACTTAGCATATTAAATGTATCTCAAGTCATTCTAGAAAGTCAATTATTTTTATTTTTATTTATTTTTTGACATACGGTCTCACTCATGTTGCCCAGGGTAGAGTACAGTGGTGCTATCTTGGCTCACTGCAACCTCAACTTCCTAGGCTGAAGTGATCTTCTCCCTCAGCCTCCCAAGTAGCTGGGACCATACTTGCTCACCGCCATGGCCAGCTAATTCTATTTTTTTTTTTTTTTTAGTAGAGACAGGATTTCTCGATGTTGCTCAGGCTGGTCTTGAACTCCTAACCTCAAGTGATCTGCCTGCCTCAGCCTCCCAAAGTGTATATAAGCATAAAATATAAGCATAACTTCACCCATAATTCTGTTATTCAGAGCCTTAGACTTTAATATATTTCCTTCTAGTTTTTTACTAGACCGTGTACATTTTGTATAGCTGAGATTAGATTGTAGTTGCAAATTTGTATCATTTTCCTTTTTTCGAATGTTATTAAAATCTCCTGACACATTTGGAAAGACTACACTATACTCCAGAGTGTTACCATTTTCATAATCATTTCCATTTAGGATTTTTATGGACATTTAGGACATTTATGTTCCTCTTTGGGCTTATGAACAATGCTGCTGTAGAAAACTTTGAATTTCTTCTCACATTTCAGAATATATCTGTAGGTCACTATATAAGAAGCATATTTATTGGGTCCAATGTTGATGTCTTATTAAAATAATCATAATATGAGAAATAGAAAATATATCAAGAAAAGAATAAAAATAATTTATAATCCCACTAAGAACAAAAGCACTATTAACATGGTGATGTATTTTTTTCTGTAATTTCTTACAGATAGACAAATGTATATGTGTGTAGTTGTGAGTGCGTGTGTATCCATCCTCTTTACAAAATTGAGTTAATGCACATGCAGTTTTGTTTCATGCGTTTTCACTTAGCATTTTATCACAGATGATTTCCTATATCATTTAATATTTTTTGAAGCATACATTAATAATGGTTCTTCACCATTTTATGGATGTACTATTTTTGTTTAACAAATCCTCTTTTAGAAAAGGATACTTCAGATACTCTTGCAGTTCAAAATAAAATTAGATAAACATCTTACATCTCTACTTAAATCTCTGTATCTTTAAGGTAAATTTCTAGAAGTAAAATTGTGGCAGAGGATATCTATGTTTTAAGAATGCATACATAGCTGAATTTGCTCTTCAGTGCAGCTGTTTTAGCTTACTCATCTGCCAACATCAATTTGTATTTCTGTTTCATAAAATACTTGTGAACACCAGACACTTAATGTTTAAAATGACATCAGTTTGAGAGATTCTGAAACTCGTGTTTCAATTTGTATCACTTTCATTATTCACAAACTTGAACTTAAAAAAGGTTTTGGTTTTGATGGTTTTTTATTACGTTTTTTTTGTGAATTTTGAGGGAATAATTTTTGCCTATTATGGGATATTTCTCAATGTGTTGTAAATATATTAACCATATATTGAAAAAGTGCTTTCTAATTAATAATTTTTTAATGTAGAGTATTGAAACATCTTTATTTAGCCAAATCTTTTCCTTTAATGATTTTTAACTTTTATGTTTGTAAGTCTTTCGTACAATCCTACTAGTAGGTATATACCCAAAGAAAAATAATTCATTCTATCTAAGAGATACATGCACTCGTGTGTTTATCATAGCACTGTTCGCAATGGCAGATACATGGAATCAACCTAGGTGCCCATCAACAGTGGATCGAATAAAGAAGATGTGGTACATATACATTGCAGAATACTATGCAGCTATAAAAAATAAACTATGTCTTTTGCAGCAACGTGGTTGGAGCTGGAGTCCATTATCATAAGCAACCTAATACAAGAACATAAAACCAAATACCCCATGTTCTTACTTTTAAGTGAGAACTTAACATTGAATTTACATGAACATATAGTTGGGAACAATTGATGTTTGGGACCATTAGGTGGGAGGGAGAATGGGAGTGTGAGCTGAAGAACTGCTTGTTGGTACTATGCTCACTGCCTGCGTGATAGGATTGTTGGGATCCCAAGCCTCAGTGACAAACAATTTACCCATGTAACAAACCTGTGTGCATACTCTTTAATCTATAATAAAAGTTTAAATTTAAAAATAAATGTTTTCTACCCTGAAAGTAGGTAAATATTTATATTATTTCTTAGTCCTGAAGTTTTCAGTTTATATGTAATTCTTAATTTACCTAAAACTTATTTTGATATACGTGGTAAGAGAATCAAGCTTTATTTTTCTATCAATGTTAATCCAGATGTCGCAGCTCCATTACCAAGTGTTTTTTTTTTTTAACTGATTTGAAACATTTTCTTTATCATATTTTACATTCTTACCTATATTAGAATCTATGTTCAAGTTTTTGGTTTTTCTATGGATTTATTTTTATACAAATTCTGTAAATTTAGTTGTTGAACCTTTGCATAATATTTTTGTAATGATATAACATAGCAAATCTTTCCTCTTTATTCTTCTTTTACACAATTTTCATTTAATATTCAGAGTTAATCTTAGGCTACTTTTGTCACATTTAAAAAAATACCACTGGTATTTGGATGAAAATTACATGAAATGTATCAGTTATTTTGCAGAACATTGATTTCTTTCCAGTTTTGAAATCTTCCCATCCGTTATCATTGTATGTTACTTATTTTCACATCTTTTGTGTCGATTAGAAAATATAATTCATATCTATTCCTAGGATTCATAAAATCAGTACTTTTTATTCAGATTATGAAAATTTAAAAATTTACTCTAAAATCAGATTCTCTTCTTTGAAATTTTTTTCCTTTTGTTACTTATGAGAGTATCTTTGCATATTTGTGTATTGCTGCCTCATTTTTGCTCTTCTAGAAACTTCATTTTTAATCATAGTATTGATAAATTTTATCAGTATAGTTAGTTCTTTTTCCTTGCTCTGCTTTTCACTCAGCCTTTGCTATATAACAAGCTACTCCAAAACATAATGGCTTTAAGCAATGAAGACTTAGTCTCATGATTCTGTGGTTTGACTGGGTGTTTCTTCTGTTCTTGCCTGAGCTGACTTGGTGGCATAGCTAATGGTCCTGGAAAGTCTGTCTCTCCACCTGCCCATTCTTATCCAAACTTCGCCTCATCATTGTGGTTTCAGAGTTCCCAGAGGGAAAGCCCCAGGTGCATAAGCACTTTTGAAGCCTCAGTTTAATGGAATGTTTGCTGAGGTTACATGGATGAAAGCCACGCCAACCAAGAGCCTGTGTAGGAAGAGACTATATACAACGATATGGATACTAGGACTGTGATTCACTGGGTGCCATTATTGTTAAAATTCTACCATTCCTACCTTCTGGTCTTTTTTGTCATATTTTTTCCCCTCATTGTTTATAGAGAGTACTTTTATATTTTTTTCTGTGATAATTTTGTGTTATTTTAAGGGCACTATTTTATAGCAGTCGAATCTAAGAATGTTGATTTTTTTTTTCAGATTTTGACATCTCTCAGAAATAAACAATTACCATTACTATTTTACAAATTTATATTCATAAGTTAATTCACTAAAAGCATAGTAGCTTTTGATAAAATCAAGATTTAAACAAAAATAAGAATAAATAAATATGAACTTTGTGAAAGCAGCATGCTCCTAGGATTTCTGTTGTAATTTTACAGTTAGAATTCTATAAAAAGGGAACCTTAGAAAGGTGAAATTGCATTGCTTTTTATGTGGTAGAAATGTATAGATGAGGTTGGGAAAGACAAAAGATCTTGTCCATTTTGGAAAGTATTTTGCATTTATATTTACTAAAACTTATAAAGAGTAGATCACTAAGCAGTTTGTAAATATTCTTTTGGTGAAATTCACTAATATCCTAGTTGAGAAACATGAGTATTCTTTGAAAAACACATTTGAAAATGGTTTTATTCATGAGGAAGGTTGGTGAAACCATAGTCTTTATATTTAGTATAGGAAAAAAATATATAATTTTTATATCTGGAAAAGTCTTCATTGAAATAAAATTCTCTTATTATGGAATTGCAAAAATTGCTGCCCAAGGACAATTTCTGTAATGCCATAGTAATTCAAATGCCAACTCTGATGATTTTAAAAGCAGTTTTCTTGATCATATTGGCTGTTACCAACTAAGACAAGCTTAAAATCTCATTGTCCTCACCTGGTTACTCTAGTCCATGCATGCTTCTGCAGTCTTATCTCATCACAGCTCCTTTATCTTATTGGCAGGACCCTGAAAACAACAGATTTGTTTTGCCTTTGTGCCTTTAATCTGTATGTTGGGACACGTACTTTAAATATGTTACCTTGCAGTCTTTCAGTATCTTCCTCAGGCTCCCGTCATGCATCTTTTCCAGGTACTGCACCCTGTATTGGTTGCTCCACCACAGAACTATAGACACTTGGAATTTGAATCAGAGATTAATAAATAACTGCCTGTTGTTTCATGTGTGTTAATTGGATTATAAGCCTCCTACAGGAGAGTCTTATATTTTTTCCCTCATAGCACTTTGACAAAGCCATGGACAAACAGTAGTTGCATACTGTATGTTTCCTGGTTGTTAGGAGATAAAGTCATTTTGATATAAATTGTTTTTTCTCCTTTAATAAAGGGATAGGATGGGATCTGCACTGATGATTGAAACAGCAAGAAACCCCACATGTCCTAAGGTAAGCTTAGAGTCTCTTAAATATAATACCTAGTTTGATCTGAAGGTCTGGTGAAAGCACTTATCCTGAGGGCCCTTTTATTTTATTTTTAATTTTTTTAAAAATTTTTTGAGATGGAATTTCACTCTTGGTGCCCAGGCTGGAGTACAATGGTGCAACCTCAGCTCACTGCAACCTCCGCCTCCTGGGTTCAATCAATTCTCCAGCCTCAACCTCCCAAATATCTGGGATTATAAGCATGTGCCACCACACCTGGCTAATTTTTTTGTATTTTTAGTAGACAGGGTTTCTCCACATTGGTCAGGCTGGTCTTGAACTTCCCACCTCAGGTGATCCACCCGCCTTGGCCTCCCAAAGTGCTGGGATTACAGGCATGAGCCACTGTGCCCAGCTCTGAGGGCCTTTTTATTAAGGGATAATAGATTGTATTAATTCTTTATATATTGATCATTCCATGAAGAGATAGGATATCATCATTATACCTTTTTAAATCCAGTAAAAGTATAACAGAAGTAGAAGAACATGAAAGACAGACTGAAAATGAGGAAGAATTATTTTATCATAATTTAAAAAATCAAATCTAGTGATATAAGGAACATTATGACATTTCTTACCCTAGATTTTCAAAGAGAAATTTTATATGCCTCTTAGACATAATGCAATCATGCATCACCTAATGATGGGGATACATTCTGAGAAGTGTCTCATTAGGTGATTTTGTCATTGTGCAAGTATTATAGGGTGTATTCAGATATACTTAAATGGTATAGCCTGCTACACATGTAGGCTAAATGACATAGCCTATAGTTCCTAGGCCACAAACCTGTACAGCAGGTGACCATACTGAATACTGTAGGCAGTTGTGACACAATGATGAGAATACTTCCATATCTCCAGATATGCAAATATCTAGATGGAAAATAATTATGGGAAAGATACAGCAAAAATACAGCGTAGAAGCACCTTTACAGTCTTATGGAACCACTGTTGTATATGTGGTCCATCATTGACCAAAACATTGATACACAGTGCATGACTATATTAGATTGTATTATTATACAAATTAAATCCTCATTAAAATTTAAATGTCACTTAGATGTGTTTCATTGTGGCTCTTCATTTATTTGTTTGAAACCCGATGATCTGAGTATTGCTTGATTTCTATTAATATTACTTATTTAAGGAATAGAATTTATGTGCCTAGAAATTCCATGCAGCTTGTATTTATTCTCAGATAATAAGCTGTGACCATGAAAAATCAAACAAATGCAGCTCCTTCTGTTGCTGTTTAACTATGGCATAGTCATGCTTTGAGTCATTCTGCAATTCTTAATTATGCACCCACTGCTAGGCACTTTGGATTCATTGTGGCCAAATGCAGACATGGGGTTTACAGCTCTGTAGGGCAGCATAGATATTAATGAAATAATGATGAAGATGAGATGTAGTAGTTTCTCTGAAATACATAAGTGCTATGGAGCACAAAAGCAGTTCTCTGAAAGCAGGGGACACAATGGATGGCTACTCTGAGGAGGTGAGATTTGAGATGTCAATGTGAAGGCCATTGAGTAGGAGCATTCCTGGCTAAGGGAATGGCCTGTGCAGGAAAAGACATAGAGAATTCCAGGAAATGATAGAGTTCTTAAAGACTAGTGCCTCAGAATCCAAGGGCCGCATGTGGGATGAGACTGGAGCAGTAGGCCGATTAGATCAGATGCAGTGCCTCAGAGGCTGTGATGAAGAGATGATTTCGCTGTTTTGGAGAGGACCCTAGGGTGCACTCTGTGCCTCTTGCTTGTTTCCCTGTATCTCCAAGGCTCCTTGTTTGTTTGCTTGGTTTAAATCATGGAAGTTTCCAAATTTTAGTAAAAGTTAGGGGGAACTTTAGTCATCTTAAGAATTAAATCATCATGATAAATGGAGAGCCATTCATATATTTTCATAATCTAGCCATATTTATGTACCAATTATAGAAAGACTGGATATTAATGTATGGCCAGCTTCTATCCATTGTGGCCTAGAGACAGACTTGGATTTCTCACAGGAATTTAGTATGTGACCTTTGTTTATTAAATATCAAAACGATTGGCAGGACTTGGCACAGGACACTAACTTTGGCCTCATCAATACCCGTCAGCCTCTTAAGTTATTATTACAGATCATTAACAAAACAGCACATTTCATGTAAATTCAAACAACAGTGATAAAATTTGAGAACTGAAATGGTTGACATTATAGTTTTTTAAATAAACATTACCCAGCTACCAGGTTTTAATAACCGTGACCTGAAAGCACTGATTGTATGGTGTTACATTTCACTTTTATTGAAGTCAGAATATTTTCAAAGAGCTCAGAAACAAAGACTAATTTGTAAATGATGTTATAAAAATAGTGTACTTATCTTGAAGCAGTTTTTTTTGTTTTGTTGGCTGTTTTTTTTTGTTTTTGAGACAGAGTCCCACTCTGTTACCCAGGCTGGGGTGCAGTGACGTGATCTCAGTTTACTCCAGTCTCCACCTCCTTGGTTCAAGCAATTCCCCTGTCTCAGCCTCTCGAGTAGCTGGAAGGTGCCCGTCATCATGTCTGGCTAATTTTATATTTTGAGTAGAGATGAGGTTTCACCGTTTTGGGCAGGCTGCTCTTAACTCCTTGGTCCAGTCTCCTCAGCCTCCCAAAGTGCTGGGATTACAGGCATGAGCCACTGCACCCAGCCTTTAAGCAGTTTTTATTCATTACTACTGTTCTGTCAGTTATTACATAAAGGTCTAGAAATGCTTGCCTTTTTGAATACTTTTTTAATCAAATCATGTAGTCAAATCTCTTTTATTATTCTTTTATAATACATTTCTCAGAATTGCTTCAGTCTTGATTATTTCATAAAGAAATGCCTGATTTAAAAGACCTGATTCTCTTTTTTCAGCATTATATTTGTGTTACATATTTATTTGACAGAGTGGTAGATTTTTCATTCATACTGCTCAATAGTATTTAATTTTTACAGATCCCAAATATGTTACTGTTTATGATGGAATTGTTCACTTTTTCATTCACTAGGTGGCTGCTGTAAGTACCATAGTAAATAGAGGGATAACACCAAAGGCTTTTGTGTTCAGAAACTATGGTCATTTTCCTGGAATCAACTCTCATTATTTGGGAGGCTGTCAGTATAAAATGTGGCAGGCCATTAGAGCCTCATCTGCTGCTCCAGGCTACTTTGCAGAATATGCGTTGGGAAATGATCTTCATCAAGTAAGTTGACTTGTATGGCCTATCTTTTAAAATTTTACATGATTAAAATAATCAGCACTTATTAAATGTCATTGATCTTCAGAAGGATCAACCTAGGAGACTTTCTTTTTTGTGTCTTTAAATGTCAAAAGAAGAACAATTTAGATTATTTTTATTTGCTGTTTTTCTTAGCAAGCACCTGACATGCAAACATATTTTAGGGAAGTTTTTGTTGTTTTATACAGTGTGATTCATAGCCTAGTATGATAATTTTATGATGGAAAAGTGAGAATATATATGATTAGCTTTCCAAACTTGATAAAAATTAAAAATGATATACACTCCCTAAAAATGCAGAACCCAGTCTGTTTGACAGTTTGGGTAGGCATATTTTGAAGAAGGGGGTATAGTAAAATAGTAGTAAACACTCATTAAGTTAGCTATGTGCTAGACACTTATTTAGTGCTGTACATGTATTATCTCATTTAATCCTTTATACTCTTTTAAATTTGTTTTAAAATTATTTGTGAAGCTTAATATTATTTCTGGAAATTATTTTTATGTAAACTCATTTACTTAAGTTTTTCCTCTGTCAAGTTTTTCCAACTTTTTTTTTTTTTAAGACAGAGTCTTGTTCTGTCGCCAGGCTTGAGTACAGTCAGTGGCATGATCTGGGCTCACTGCAACCTACACTTCCCAGGTTCAAGCAATTCTCCTGCCTCAGCCTCCCGAGTAGCTGGGACTACAGGCACACACCACCACATCCACCTAATTTTTATATTTTTAGTAGAGATGGGGTTTCACCATGTTGGCCTTGATGTTCTCAGTCACTTGACTTCATGATCCACCTGCCTCGGCCTCCCAAACTGCTGGGATTATAGGCATGAGCCACCATGCCCAGCCAAGTTTTTCCAACTCTTTATGGAAATGTTAATTCATAACTTACACTAAATGTGAATAAGCTTTAGAGCTGATATTTTGAAGGCATGTATTTTTATACTTAATTTTTTAAGTCATATCTCATTTAAATAAGGAGAATGAGACGAATCTTAACATTTTTCTCTAGTGCCTAAAGTATGTGTATTCTCTCTATTTGGTATTCACGTATCTGTTGAGAAAAATTCTTAACCGTTGATGGGAATATTCAGATGGCATTCATAGATCTGGTCAGGCACAGTGGCTCACGCCTGTAATCCCAGCACTTGGGAGGCCAAGGCGGCTGGATCACAAGGTCAGGAGTTCAAGACCAGCCTCACCAACATGGTGAAACCCCATCTCTACTAAAAATACAAAAATTAGCCAGGTGTAGTGGCACGCACCTGTAGTCCCAGCTACTCAGGAGGCTGAGACAGGAGAATCGCTTGAACCCGGGAGGCGGAGGTTGCAGTGAGCTGAGATTACATCACTGCACTCCAGCCTGGGCAACAGAGTGAGACTCTGTCTCACAAAAAAAAAAAACAAAAAAAAACTCTTGCATAGATCTATATAAACAACATGTCGACAATATAAACTTCAAAACTTGCTAATGAATCATTTAAATGTAAATGTCAGTGTTATAACTGAACCATTTTTATAAAAATTTTATCTCATTTTGATAAAATAGCTTATATGTATTTTAAAATGTTATGGTCAGCTATTCCCATTTTCTTTTTAATCTTTCTAAAAGTAATATAACATTTGTAGCTAAGAGATTAAAGTAGGATTCCTTTGTTTTTGGAGTCAGTTCGAACCATTTCTTTTCAGAATCAGTCATTGCTGAATTATGTAAGGCACTTCCCCTTCTTGCCATTCTTACTGGCTGCTGAGTTTCTGATACTGATTTCAGGACTTATGGGTCAAAATAAATTTTTTATTTTAATATGTAGCTTACCATTTTTATCAGTGGATTTCCCCCTCTTAAGGTACCATGTCATAAATTGAGAAATAATTTAGACAGTGTATTTAAAATATAATAGAATTTCTAAGTTATAATCTTAATATAGTTGTGCTATAAACTTGCGGTTATGCCAATTTATGAAAGTCTCAAATACTAAATAATTACATTTGGGGATCATATGTTTCCACACTTCAAAAGACGTTATCTCATTTGCTCTAAATTTATTCTTTATCTAAGAGGAAGTAGTTCCAAAGTTTAATTCAATCCTGTTGAATATATATACCAAACCAAAGTAATTCAGTGGTTTTTTTTTCCATTTCAGATAGATTAGTGATACTTCTGTTCATGCTTAGACATTTTTCTATTGATGACCATAATCTTTTTGAGCCACAGATTAAAATAACTTAAGGTTATTTGAATAAATAAATGTTACTTATAATTTACATAGATTTTTATGTAAATTATATAGCCACAGGGGTAAAAAAAAATGTACTTTCATATAAATCACTAAGCTTCAGAAACATGGGTACATTTAATTAATACAAATATTCAATTGGAATCTGGAACCCAAGAAACCTATTTAAGGAAATATTTTTCTTACTCTGTATTCCCTTCTTCCAAGACTTGAAGAAGAAATGGGATATTTTTCCCTTCAAATGACAACTCAAAAGATTGATGGAAGTAATTTAAGATGTGAATATCTTGATTCCTTAAAAAAAGAAAACATTCAAGCAAAGTCCTATTTCTTTCTAACCATTCAGAAGTTTTGCCAAGTTTAAAATATGGTACTTAGTAGACCCTCTCATCCTAAATCTTTTAATAATTATATTCAATTATTACCAGTCTCATTTTGAAAATCCTTTTTAACTGTCACATCTGACATATATTTTAATGTAGTTACTTTTTATCCATTGTAGTAGAGGTTAATTAATATTCTATGTGAGCAATTATTGAAAGTAGTGATCTAATTAAGAGTTATGAATAGGTGAATGGGGAGATTTCATTTGCTTTTGACTATATAAAGAAGAAGATTATTACAACATTTATAGGGTTCATTAGAAGTCCTGGAAAATTATAAAGTGAGAAGAATTATTTTTGAGTAGCTCCCAGTCTCTCCCCATCTGCCCAAGTACATAGAATATGTACATGGAAGTACTACTTTTTACACGCAATTATTCCATCTCCACCTTCAAAATTAAATTGTTCATTCCTGTCTTTGGAGAAAGAATCTGATAAATTAGTTTACACTAAAGGTTTTGATGACCAATTCTGATATATATATTATTCCTCCCAGGCTTTATTTACATCATACAAGTTTATGTTCAGAGCTTAGGGTATATAAACATAAATTATGAAATTTATTTAAACATTCTAGGTGAAGAGTGTTTATAGCAGAAAGAACCTTCTCAACACCTGCCAAATAATGCCTATACCAAGCCACAGTTAATAATTTTCATTATAACTGGACAGAAATGTGGTGAGTGCTTACTCAGTCAGTGCCAGGCACTGTGCTAGCGGAGAAAAATAAAAAGATTTTTAACCATAGTTGGCATATTGTGTGTGCTTCCTGAATCATGCCCTCAAATAGTTCAGACAAAAGGATGTAAACCCAGTTATAGAATGAGGTGACAAATTTAATAATAAACATATGTACAGGATTAAGAAGTAATATAGAGGTGATTGATTGTGTCAGGGTCAGCTTAACAAAGAAGTTGCCATCTGACTTGATGTATTACAAATGGGTCATTGATTAGGGATAGAAAATGGGATGAGGAAGGGAAAATGGGGACTGATTCCTCAATGGTTACAGAGATGGGTGATAAAAATGTTTCAGAAACAGAGTGTAGTGTCTAGATACAGTGGCTCATGCCTGTAATCCCAGCACTTTGGGAGGTCGAAGCTGAAGGATCGCTTGAGCTCAGGAGCTCAAGACCAGCTTGCTGCAACATAGTGAGACTGTCTCCACCAAAACAAAATTAACCGGATGTGGGAGTCCACACCTGTAGACCCAGCTACTCTGGAGGCTGAGGTGTGAAGATCTCCTTGAGCCCAAAAGTTGAAGGTTACAGTGATTTGATCATGCCACTGCTATCCAGCCAGGACAACAGAGTGAGACTCTGTCTCAAAGAAAAATAGTGGATAGTGGTGATGGTCACAAAACGTTGTGAATATAATTAAAGCCACTTAATTGAACCCTTAAAAATCATTTAAATGACCAGTTTTGTGTTACATTTAATTTCTCACAATAAAAAGCAAATTTTAAAAGAAACAAGGATTAAAAGTGAGAAGCTAAGATAATAAAAAGGCATTGCTCATTGTCCAGCAGTTACTTTCTGGTAAGTGCTCTGACAGGATTTGAAATGATTAAATATACATTAAAAGCAATAAAAAGTATGTGTAAATTTTAGGCTATTAAGCACATGTACAGTATACTGCAGTTCAAACACAATCTGTATTCCTCTAAGAGATAATAAGTAAATTATTCAATCATTTATCAAGTCGATTTTACTTTGGCAGTTAGAAGTATGCCTGGCACATGCCGTCTATAAAAAATAACTGTAAATATGAATACTTGAATGAATGAAAAGGCTATAGAAACTACCATGGACATAACATTAGCTCAATGACCTGCTGATAAAATAGGCATCTGACAAGAGTAGGCTAACTATAAGGAGAGCTTAAGAGATGGTATGCCTTACCATTAGATTAGAGTGATCCCAGAAACCTTAATTGCTGTACTTTTTTGATAAAAAGTGAGTAAAGTTTAAGGAACAGAAATTTACTTTGAAAAATGACTAGCAAAACTACAAGAAACCTGGCAGTTTTTTGATTTGGATTGATTTTGCAGTTGTCGTTTTTTGCTAAAATTTGTTTGCCTCTTCGTCTTTTCTTTTTTTTTTTTTTTTCTTTTTTGATTATCCTTTTGTAGCCTTTTATATAATGAAAATGTGTTTCATCTAAAATACCTACTTGATTAGAAGTTATTCATAGTATAACAAGTATAGAATTTAAGATTTAAATGGTTAGTGAAAAAAGAACTTTTCTGTTGAATTAAAAATTCAATGTTACCTCTATCATAGGATAGTTATTCTAATGATCTGTTAATTGAAAACAAAGGAAAAAGTTGAAAGGATTAAATTAAAATTTGTACACGGGAAAGTCTTTTAGGAAATAGCTTAATTATTCCCACCTGCATTTAAGGACTCTAAGTAGATTTTTACAGAGTTAAGCAATACAAATATAAATACCAATCCAATTATGACTTTCAACAAATGTATAAAGATAGCTAAATCTAAAAGTAGTTCTTTTCAACAGTTGAATGGATAAACTGTGGTATAGTCAAATAATGAAATAATAGCATTAAAAAGGAATGAATTATGGACATTTACATAGGCATAGATGAATCTCAGAAGCATTCTTCTAAAGGAAAGAAACCAGATCCAAAAAACTTATACTGTATGATTTCGTTTATTTTGATAACAAAGTTCAATGTGTGACCTTGAAGAGTAGTTAGATGAATAGGCTTTTGAAGTCAAGAAGATTGAGGAACTGAGATTCCAGGGTGTTGTAAAGATGTTGAAGTCACATAGGGTAATAAAAAGACGAGATAGAAAGCAAGTCTAAACCAGATGTCTTAACTTGTTGAGTGATAAGGAGTGACTGGAGACTGATCTGTAGCAATAGTAATCAGGAGATGGTGGCATAGCTGAATAGCAGAGCCTTCACAAAGCACGAATCCAAGTGAATTGGAACTGATGGTCTAGAAGAAACACTGGAGAACGATAAGACACCACTCTTCCTCCCCCAACTACCTGGGACATGATATCAGGGAAAAGCCATGTTTCTGTTAAGTCAAAGAGGAAGAGAGCACTTCCAAAAGAGAGATTGCAATGGAGTTTTAACTATGGAACAGTTCCATAGAGTACACTGAAAGAGTTTAGGACGTGGGGGAAGAGTGAAGGCAGGGAAACACAGAGAATTGAATGCCATTATGGGAATGAAAGCACAGTGGAGTTTAGAATGAGATGTGAATTTAGCCCCCATTGGTTATTTAAGGAAAAGGAGCCAAGTGGCCAGAAAAAATTTTCCCACTCTCCATGGTAATCAGTTCTGTCAGATACAGTCTCTGTTTACCTGTTTCCAACTCAGGACACAAGAATAGCAGTCCCTAAAACTGCAGTCACTACAGGCTTTTTTGCCTGGCACAGTAGATAGAGGGTCATTTAAGTTTTTAACAAATGAACTGAAGCAATCTACTTCATATCAGAAAAGGCCTACTTCTCACAGTCTCACTATAATGCAGGATGATGTTTAGTTTAGGATTCTGTTCATTAATAGTCTCTGCCATGGTACTTTGGCTTAAGGAGTGATAAGCATTTAATTACATTACTAAGATGTATACTGAACATTCAGTCTATTTAATCCATAACAAGTCTAAGCATGACACTTGTGTGATCTTTCCTTTGTTCGTGATACATATTATTACCCTCTTCCTGAGCCAAGACAAGGGAGAGAGGCTTCACTGTTCTTAGGACAGCTACTACTGTCAGGTGGCAAACCAGTTAAATATCCCCCTTCCCCTGCCCCATCCCAGACTTGGGTCATTCACAGACCAGCTTTCCGTAATCTTTCGATTTCAGAGACTATACCAACTCAGGCATATCTAAGCCACAAAGAGACATTTATGGAAGGAAGCAAAGACCTGAAATACAGTGGGTTTACAAGTAAATGTATCCCTTTTGACAAGAGATGTCTTTGAAAAGGGTAGCCCTTTCTCACGTAAGTCATAGGGTAGAAACATAAGACACATTATTTCAAAGAGATGTAGTTAGAGAGTGCTGGAGATTAGCAACTCAGTGAAGGGAAGATTGGGCTGGAAGTGGCAACAAACTACTTATGCTAAAATGGAGAATAGAGCAAGCAATAAAAAGATAAGGCAAACTGCTTTTCTGAATGTCAACACAGCCCCATGCGTCCCAGTTATCTCAAGGGTAGCACAAAGCTACATATTGGTGATAAATGACATTTGCCACAATAAAGGTCCATTAGCCTCAGACTGGCCATTCTGTTACTAAAGAGCCAATTAACTTTCTCTGGGAAGTGTTGTTAGTATTTAGGGACATTTCTATATATTAGCTGCCTCCTAATGTGATCTTATTGATTCAACCAGAGTATTACTTGAGATATAGGTTTTTGAGAAAGTTGTTTTGTAATGCCAGAAATGAAGAGTTATCATAATTTGTGGTTTGCAAAATATTATCACTCCCCCTAAAATAACTGAGCATAAATTTGTGAAAAGATGAGGAGTGTTATTCACATTCCATGAGAAATTTTAGTAACAGTAGTATACTTCATTAGTAGGGCAAAATCCTACATGTGATGTTTTTAATGGGACCTTCAAGCCAGAGCATTAATGGTGGAGTAGAAGATTTTACACACAGAAAACTACTTGGAGGAATCAATTATATTCCTATATATTAGCAAAGAATAATTGGGAATCAAAACTTTAACAAAAAGCCATACAGTTTATAATCCAAATAAATTACTTAGATATAAATCTAACAAAACATAGAGAATCTGGATGTTGAAAACAAAAGATGAAAGAAATAGGAGACCTAAATAAATGGGAAGGCATCATGGTTGAAAAATGCTACATGCTAAAGATGGGAATTATTCCTGAAGTGATTTATAAATATAATGCAATGCCCATGAAAACTCCAGTAGGACTTTTTAAAAATTATACAATCAGATTCTAAAATTTATATGGAAGGACAGAGGAATCAGAGTAGTTTAACAATTATTATTTATTTATTTAGGGACAGAGTCTTGCACTGTCACCCAGGTTGGAGTGCCGTGGCACAATCTCAGCTCACTGCAACCTCCACCTCCCAGGTTCGGGCGATTCTCGTGCCTCAGCCTTTTGAATAGCTGGGACTACAGGTGCGCACCTCCACGCCCAGCTAATTTTTTGTATTTTTAGTAGTGACGAAGTTTTACCATGTTGGCCAGGCTGGTCTTGAACTGGACTCAGGTAATCTGCCTGCCTCAGCCTCCCAAAGTGCTAGGATTACAGATGTGGGCCACTGCACCTGGCCTAAACAATTTTAAAAGAATAAAAAGTTTCAAGGAATCACAGTACCCAATTTAAAAACTTACTCTAAATAGCCATGGCTACTGTACCAGTGTGGTATTTGCATAAAGATAGATACATAGATAAATGTAATTAAATAGCAGTTTGGAAATAGATCCATACGTATAAGGCCATGTGATCTTTGACAAAGATATAGAAGCAATTCAATGCAGAAAGGATAGTCTTTTCAGCAAAAATTGAGTTGAAACAATTGGTCACCTTCCTCTCTCTCTCTTTTCCCCTAACCCCCTGCCACACACCCAAACACACATACCCCAGAAACCGTGACCTAAACCTCACACATTATACAAAGATAATTCATGGTGGATCGTAGTTCTTAATTTAAAACAAAACTATGAAACTTTTAGAAAAAAAACTTGGTGACCTGGGTTAGGTGAAGACTTTTAACAATTATACTGAAAACATCATCCATGAAATTTAAAAATTGGTGAATTGGACTTCATCAAAATTAAAAATTTAGCTCTGCAAATAGGCTGCCAAGAGGATGAGGAGACAAGCGACATACAGGAAGAAGATATTTGTAAATCCACATATCCAACAAAGGAGTTATATCTAGAACATGCAAGAAAAAGTTTAACAATATGAGCTAAAGACTTGAACAGACACTTGAGCGGTGATAAAAGGATAGCAAATGAGGATGTGAAAAGAGGACCAGCATCATTAGGCATTGGGGAATCGCAAATTAAAACAATGATGAAATGCCACCACGTATCTGTTAGAGTCATTAAAATAATAAATAGAGGCAATACCAAGTGTTACTATAATAAGACGCAGAGCAACTGAAACTTTTAGACATTGATGGTGGGAATGCAAAATGGACAACCACTTTGAAAATGTTTCGGCAGTTTCTTATAAAGTTAAATGCCTGCTTCCCGTATGATCCAACAGTTGCAGTTGTGAGTATTTAGAGAAATGAAAAATTATGTACATGCAAAACCCTGTACTCACATGTTTATAGCAGCTTCTTTATTTGTGACAGTCAAAATGCTGGAAATAGGCCGGGCGTGGTGGCTCACGCCTGTAATCCCAGCACTTTGGGAGGCCGAGGCGGGTGGATCACGAGGTCAAGAGATCGAGACCATCCTGGCCAACATGGTGAAACCCCGTCTCTACTAAAAATACAGAAATTCAGCTGGGCATGGTGGTGTGTGCCTGTAATCCCAGCTACTTAGGGGGCTGAGGCAGGAGAATTGCCTCAACGCAGGAGGCGGAGGTTGCGGTGAGCCGAGATCGCGCCATTGCACTCCTGCCTGGGTAACAAGAGCGAAACTCCGCCTCAAAAAAAAAAAAATGCTGGAAATAACACAGAGGTCCTACAATGGATGAATGGATGAACCGTGTGGTACATCCATATAATCAGCAGTAGAAAAGAACAAACTGTTGGTACATGCAACACTTGGACTAGTTTCAGTGACATGCTCAGTAAGAGAAGGCAGTTTCAAGAAGTCCCATACTGTATTATTAGATTTCTATGACCTCCTTAAAAAATCAAAACCACAGTAGTGGAAAACAGGTTCGTAGTTGTCGAGGGTTATGGGTGGGAGGAGGGGTGCCTAGAAAGAGATAGCATGAGAAAGTTTTTGGGGGGGTGATGAAACTATTCTGTATCTTGATTGTGGTAATATTTACACAAATCTATGTGCATTAAAGTTCATAGAGCTGCATACCAAAAAACTTAATTTTACTGTATAATCTGAAAAATTATTTTACAATGAAATGAGCTGCTTTACAAGGTTGTATGCACCATATTACGGAAAATGTTTAAGAATTCTGTCAAAAACTGTTTAAGGCTCTGTGTGGGAGATTGTACTAGGTTAATTTCAAGGTCTGTTAAAATTCTCAGCAGTAACAGTGCTGATTCCAAGGAAGATGCCAAGCATCAGTGACATCAAAAATCATTCAAGTTGACTGGGCATGCTGGCTCACACCTGTAATCCCAGTACTTTGGGAGGCCAAGGTGGGTGAATCACAAAGTGAGGAGTTTGAGACCAGCCTGGCCAACGTGGTGAAACTCTGCTTCTACTAAAAATACAAAAAATTAGCTGGGCGTAGTGGCAGGCACCTGTAATCCTAGCTACTGGGGAGGCTGAGGCAGGAGAATCGCTTGAACCCAGGAGGCAGAGGTTGCAGTGAGCCAAGATCGTGCCACTGTACTCCTGCCCAGGGGACAGAGTGAGACTCCATCTCAAAAAAAGAAAAAAAAATTTCATTCAAGTTTATTCAGGTTGTTTACCACTGAAGAAATGCCTTTCCCTGTACTCAGCAGACAGTTAACTGGCATGGATGGGAGCTGAACAGGAAAAGGAGGCTGAGCAGTCACTTAAACCATTTTAAATCAGATTTGTTTTTCTAGATTTTATTTGGTTTGGTTTGGTTTGATTTTGAGACAAAGTCTTGCTCTGTTGCCCAGGCTAGAGTGCAGTGGTGTGATCTCGGCTCACTGCAGCCTCGACCTCCTGGGCTCAAGCAATTCTCTCACCTCAGTCTCCTGAATAGCTGGGACTACAGGCATGTATACCATGCCTGGCTAATTTAGTTTTTTGTAGAGGTCTCTCTATGTTGCTCAGATGGGTCCTGAACTCCTGGACTCAAGCAATTCTCCTTGGCCTCCAAAAGTGCTGGCATTATAGGTGTGAGCCACTGTGCTCAGTGTATTTTTATAGATTTTAAATACAGTATAATATTTATGATGTAATGGTCTATTTTAATACGGTTCTGCAATACATTTTATTATAGTTTGACCATAATTTTATCTACTTTACTACATTTTTATAGTGCTCTATCAGCATATTTTATTAATACCTTTGTTTCCTTTTGAATTCTTCAAAATAGTATTGATTACTGATAAATAGAAATACAAAGATTTGTCTATGTTACTTACATTTTATCTGCGTTATAATGAATGTGATCCCTTGAAACTGTGTTGTTAATAGAATTTCAGCTAACTTAGAATTATTTGGTTATATTTGACTTGTGAGAGAAGAACTGATTTTAAACGTTTAGTAGAACCACAGTTCTTTTCTGTTGGGCTTTAAGTAGAACCTGTGTTAACCACTAAATAAAGATAACATGTCTTTGAAAAGTAATTCAGTTCATTTCGATATTTTTGAGCAAAATTTGCAAAGCAATTCAAGAAAAAGTTCAAAGAACTTTCATAATAGGAAAGGAAAGCTTAATAAGAAGTTTCCTTAGGAGGCCAATGAGTCTTCACATGACATTTTTTGCAGCTGCAGTCTATAAAAGAAATGCACTTTAAAGGAACTTCTTGGTTTTAAATAATTTATTTAGCTTAGTTCAGCTTTCCCTGTGAGTCATTTTTAAGAGTTTCTTTTTTTAACTTGTATTTTGCAGGACGGAGGTTTGCTTCTGAATAACCCTTCAGCATTAGCTATGCATGAGTGTAAATGTCTTTGGCCAGATGTCCCATTAGAGTGCATAGTATCCCTGGGCACTGGACGTTACGAGAGTGATGTGAGAAACACGGTGACACACACAAGCTTGAAAACCAAACTTTCTAATGTTATCAACAGTGCTACAGATACAGAAGGTCAGTCCGTTCGCTGCTTTAAAATACTTCACCTTGTAGCATTCTAGCATTTTTTTGGCAGCATATATTGATCCTAACCGCTAAGGCCTGTGATATGTCTGTATTGTGGGTTTAGGAAATCCCTGGGAGCAAACATTTGGTTGTTTCCTGTTCTCACTTGTTTCTTGCTAGGTGACTCGAACAGAGACTGTTTTCTGTTTGGGAGCTAGTGCCACCTTTTCCTGCTAGTTGAAAAAGTGCCTTAAAGCTATACAGCACAACATCTCGGTTGGAGACTGTAGCCAGTTAGCAAAGGGAGAAGCAACAAAAGGAGTCAGATTCGTTCTGTCATATACATGATAGCAAAGATTTAGAGTAAATGGCATTCGATTATTTAATATTATGAAGGCAAACTGGATGGGAATGTGTTCTTGCTTCTACTCTTGTTGCCCCTATAGTTTAACCTTCATACAAAGGCCAAAGTGATCCTTTCAAAATGCAAATTAGGCCAGGCACGGTGGCTCATGCCAGTAATCTCAGCACTTAACGGAGGTTGAAGTGAGTGGATCACTTGAGGTCAGGAGTTTGAGACCAGCCTGACCAATGTGGCGAAACTCCATCTTTACTAAAAATGCAAAGATCATGCCACTATACTCCAGCCTGGGCGACAGAGCAAGACTCTGTCTCCCCCAAAAATAATAATGCAAATTCAATTATGTCTGTCTCCTTCTCAAAACCCTCTTTCAAGTGTGTGTTCAACCACCCTTTAATTCTTGCTGTTCACCAAAGTTGCTAAGAAACCTCCTGTCTCAGGATCTTTGTAGTTGCTGTACTCTCTCTGTCTCTCTCTCTAAGGCTATTTCCCTAGATGGGCACTTGACTTCCATTCAGGTCTCTGTTCAAATGTCAGTGGGTCCTCAGAGAGACCTTTCCGGACTGCTTTTTTATCTTCCTTATCATCTCACTGTAATCTCTTAGCCTGCTTCTTTTTCTCTCTTTCTGTTACAGAATTTATCTCATTATAATTATATATTACATATTCGATTGTTTACTTCTTATCATTCTACCCCACAAGATTACAAGGCAAGAATTTATCCAGTTTACTTTGACTTATCCAGTTTGCTATTGACTCCAATGCCTGGCATATAGTAGGCGTTCAATGAGCGTATTTTGAATTTCTGGTTAGGGCCTGGAGGTAGGGGTGTGAGTATATGTGTGTGAGTGTGAGTGTGTGTGTGTGTATGTATGTATGTGTATGCATTCTTAGAAACAGAGTCTCACTTTATTGCCCAGGCTGGAATGCAGTGACAATTATAGGTCACTGCACCCTCAACTTCATGGGCTCAAGCAGTCCTCCATCTTTGCCTCC